TGTTTGTTTTTCTCTTTCTGACTTACTTCACTCTGTATGACAGACTCTAGGTCCATCCACCTCATTAGAAATAACTCAATTTCGTTCCTTTCTGTGGCTGAGTAATATTCCATGGTATATATGTGCCACATCTCCTTTATCCATTCATCTGTCAATGGACATTTAGGTTGCTTCCATCTCCTGGCTATTGTAAATAGTGCTGCAATGAACATTGGGGTACATGACTCTTTGAATTATGGTTTTCTCGGGGTATATGCCTAGTAGTGGGATTGCTGGGTCATATGGTAGTTCTGTTTTTTTAAGGAACCTCCATACTGTTCTCCACAGTGGCTGTATCAATTTAGATTCCCACCAACAGTGCAAGAGGGTTCCCTTTTCTCCACACCCTCTCCAGCATTTATTTTCTGTAGATTTTTTGATGATGGCCATTCTGACTAGTGTGAGGTGATACCTCACTGTAGTTTTGATTTGCATTTCTCTAATGATTAGTGATGTTGAACATCTTTTCATGTGTTTGTTGGCAATCTGTATTTCTTCTTTGGAGAAATGTCTATTTAGGTCTTCTGCCAATTTTTGGATTGGGTTGTTTGTTTGTTTTTTGGTATTAAGCTGCATGAGCTGCTTGTATATTCTGAAGATTAATCCTTTGTCAGTTGCTTTGTTTGCAAATACTTTCTCCCATTCTGAGGGTTGTCTTTTCATCTTACTTATGGTTTCCTTTGCTGTTCAAAAGCTTTTAAGTTTCATTAGGTCGCATTTGTTTATTTTTGATTTTATTTCCATTACTCTAGGAGGTGGGTCAAAAAGGATCTTGCTGTGATTTATGTCATAGAGTCTTCTGCCTATGTTTTCCTCTAAGAGTTTTATAGTATCTGGCCTTACAGTTAGGTCTTTGATCCATTTTGAGTTTATTTTTGTGTATGGTGTTACGGAGTGTTCTAATTTCATTCTTTTACATGTAGCTGTCCAGTTTTCCCAGCACCACTTATTGAAGAGACTGTCTTTTCTCCATTGTATATTCTTGCCTCCTTTGTCAAAGATAAGGTGACCATATGTGCGTGAGTTTATCTCCGGGCTTTCTATCCTCTTCCATTGATCTATATTTCTGTTTTTGTGTCAGTACCATACTGTCTTGATTACTGTAGCTTTGTAGTATAGTCTGAAGTCTGGGAGCATGATTCCTCCAGGTCCATTTTCCTTTCTCAAGATTGCTTTGGCTATCATGGTCTTTTGTGTTTCCATAAAAATTGTAAAATTTTTTGTTCTAGTTCTGTGAAAAATGCCATTGGTGATTTGACAGGGATTGCATTGATTCTGTAGATTGCTTTGGGTAGTATAGTCATTTTCACGATGTTGATTATTTCAATCCAGGAACATGGTATATCTTTCCATCTGTTTGTATCGTCTTTGATTTCTTTAATCAGTGTCTTACAGTTTTCCGCATACAGGGTTTTTGCCCCTTAGGTAGGTTTATTCCTAGGTATTTTATTCTTTTTATTGCAGTAGTAAACGGGAGTGTTTCCTTAATTTCTCTTTCTGATCTTTCGTTGTTAGTATATAGGAATGCAAGAGATTTCTGTGCATTAATTTTGTATCCTGCTACTTTACCAAATTCATTGATTAGCTCTAGTAGTTTTCTGGTAGCATCTTTAGGATTCTCTTTGTATACTATCATGTCATCTGCGAACAGTGACAGTTTTACTTCTTCTTTTCCGATTTGGATTCCTTTTATTTCTTTTTCTTCTCTGCTTGCTGTGGCTAAAACTTGCAAAACAATGTTGAAGAATAGTGGTGAGAGTGGACATCCTTGTCTTATTCCTCATCTTAGAGGAAATGCTTTCAGTTTTCACCATTGAGAATGATGTTTGCTCTGGGTTTGTCATATATGGCCTTTATTATGTTGAGGTAGGTTCCCTCTATGCCCACTTTCTGGAGAGTCTCTATCATAAATCGGTGTTGAATTTTGTCAGAAGCTTTTTCTGCATCTATTGAGATGATCATATGGTTTTTATCCTTCAATTTGTTGATGTGGTGTATCACACTGATTGATTTGCGGATATTGAAAAATCCTTGCCTCCCTGGGATAAATCCCACTTGATCATGGTGTATGAACCTTTTAATGTATTGTTGGATTCGAATTGCTAGTATTTTGTTGAGGATTTTTGCATCTATGTTCATCAGTGATATTGGCCTGTAGTTTTCTTTTTTTGTGACATCTTTGTCTTGTTTTGGTATCAGGGTGATGGTGGCCTCATAGAAAGAGTTTGGGAGTGTTCCTCCCTCTGCTATATTTTGGAAGAACTTGAGAAGGATAGGTGTTAGCTCTTCTCTAAATGTTTGATAGAATTTGCCTGTGAAGCCATCTGGCCCTGGGCTTTTGTTTGTTGGACGATTTTTAATCACAGTTTCAATTTCAGTGCTTGTGATTGGTCTGTTCGTGTTTCTCTTTCTTCCTGGTTCAGTCTTGGAAGGCTGTGCTTTTCTAAGAATTTGTCCATTTCTTCCAGGTTGTCCATTTTATTGGCATATAGGTGCTTTTAGTAATCTCTCATGATACTTTGTATTTCTGCAGCGTCAGTTGTTACTTCTTCTTTAATGCTTTTAGTTCTGTTCCAGCCATATCTGATTGGATGAGTGCCACCCACATTAGGGAGGGAAATCTACTTTATTCAGTCTACCCATTCAAATGTTAATCTCAACCAAAAACACCTACACAGAAACATCCAGAATAATGTTTGACCAAATATCTGGGCACCCTGTTGCCCAATCAAGTTGACACATAAAATTAACCATCATAGTATGTAAACATTTAAAAGCTCAGGACTACCAAACTAGTTAATTTGTACCTAAATATGAATTCTGACCAATATTACTCACAAATTCACATTTTGGGCTTTGAGATATACCGAAAAACTCAAAGGGAGTGAGTAAAGCCTTTCAAAGATTCAAAAATGTGCTCAAAGAGAACAAGCACTAAAATCTGGAAGACAGTATGGCATTATGGGAAGTAAGAAACTTATGGTTGCCATGTTTCTTTAAAAGAGCTTTTTAACAGAAAAATTATTAAAGTTTTTATTTTTCCTGGTTCTTGGAGTAAGAATTTACTTTTTCCAGTGTTGAAAGATTTTATATATTCAAATTAAGAATTTCTCATGATCTATAATCCTGCTGTCCCACTCTCTTAACATTACCCCTGGAGCCAGCACACTGGCATCAAGAGCTGGCTGGTTCTCAGTGCAGGCAGTATCACTTGTGGGGAAGACTTTGGACTCAAATAGGGTTCCCAGGTGTGTGACCTGGGGCAAATTACTTCATCCCTCTAAGCAGCAACTTTCTTATCTGAAAATGGGGAGTTTAATATCTGTAAAATCAGCATGAGTGTTCCATAATTAAACATTCTGAAATTTAGACATCTGAATAATCTTCATTTTTGCAGTTTTATAAATAACACTGCCACCTTCGTTCTTAAATCTCTGTCTTCATTTTGGATCATTTTCTTAAATTCAGCTTCTTAGAGGTGAAATTAATGAGTCAAGGGATAGAACCTTCTAAAAAGATGGTACCAAGATTACACTAGCAATGGGAGAAAGAAAGAGAGAGGTGCTTTTCTCATTTTTAAACTTTGTGTTTCCTAGAAGCATCAGATGGTGAAGGAGGAGGAGACCCAGCAATGATGCAGCAGGAGAGAGCTCCAGTTCCTGCCCTGTCAAAGAAAACCGAACAGGTGACAGTCACTGTGGGAGAGTCACAGCTGTTGGCTCTGAAATCAGCCTCTTCTACCCCTCTACAGCATTCCGTGTGCTTCAATACCAGTTATTGGTGGGATTTGAGGGAAGCTTTTACCTTCTCTGCCTTTGAAAGAGCCATGCTTCATCAATTACAAACCAGCAAGGTCTATTTTTCCCCCTAATATATTTTTTACAATATAAATATATTTTACAATAATGATAGCTTAGATTCTTGTATTACATTTTTACCAAAGACCCAGTTTTATTCTTTGAGTATAGTTCCTAAGAGAAGACAAATAGCATAGATATGCAAGATTACCCCCACACCAATGCATTATTACAGTACCAAGACATGCTGTGAGCAGGCTCCCAGGCCTTCATGTCTATCTAGCATCATGTCTGTTGTGTGAATTCTTATTGGGGATTTGCTACCTTTGTATTACCACAAGTGGCCATTTGATAAACTTTGCTCCTTGGACTTAGGACCTTTTATTGCCTTTTTAATCTTCTTGCTGGCCACTCACATCCATTTGCACCTTTCTTACATTATTGTCCCTGAGACCTAATTGGTAACCATGTGTGATTTTTTAAAGGACTATCTAACTGTCAGTCCAAAGTTACCATCTTCTTCATAGTAACATATGTGGCCTTATTCTTATTGTAGGTGGCCCTAAACACATTCCACTAGAGTTTTGTGACCCAAAGTTTGTGACCAGGCTCAGGATAATTGTGGGAAGCAGTTTAGCATTTTGGTTACCTACAAGCTGTGACGCCTTGGGCAAGTTAAACTCTCTGTGCCTCAGTCTCCGTATTGGTAAAGTGGTGATAATACGTGTATTTTCTTCACAGGGTTACGGGTGAGGATTAAATGATTAACACTTGTTAAGCTCTTTGAACTGTGGTTGGCAAAGAGTAAGCACTGAAGTGATAATTCTTATAGTAAAATATACTTCAAGTCTTTTATTTTATTCATTATTTTTTCTTTGTGAGGTGGGGAATGCAGCAAGATATACATATTTAATGTATAATCAGTCTTGGTTTTCTCTCTAGACATTAAATATTTAACTCCAAGGCCCTGTATCAATTTTAGTTTGCACCATTCTTTCTAAGATCTACAGGTTAACATCTGTAGCTTTTCAATTTATTTCACAAAGATGTTGTTTGATTTTACCTCACTTAACTCCACTGACCATACCATAGTCATGCCTTCTTTGACCTCTGCCTCTAATCAGTGCCTACTTGCAGAACTTGTTTCTAAATATTCTTTTTTTTTGTAGAAATTAGAACTTTATTATATTATAAACACTTCCAGAATATAAACTGATTTTGTATCAAGACTCCTTGAAACGTTTAAAACTGTATGTAACTTAAGCTTATTATAATGTATGTCATTTTCCACTTTCCAATATAGAAAATATACTGCAAGTTAGATCTAACAAAGGAAAAAAAATCAATCTAAACTGCTTCACAGAGAAAACTAATGAATATAAAAACACCCACCCCAAACTAAAACCCAATCAAGAAATGGATTCTGTAAAGCCTATTAATCCTCCAGTTTAAAATAAATGACGTCCTAAGGGAAAAATACTTCCACCATCATAGCAATTTGATGAATTAAAGCAGAGCCACTCTCGTTAAGGGAAATTACATTATGTATAAGAAAAATGTAGTAATGATTTTAGAAAAGAGGAAAAGTAATTTCCATGTTGGAGAGCAAGCACACTAAATGTTTTCTGTTCACTTAGCCTTTGTACCTGCTCACATGAAAAGAGCGATAGGAACATCATAAAACCAAGCTCCTCAACTCTTTTTTCAGTTTAACCTCAGGAGAACCAATGCAAGAGCTTCAAAATCCAAGGAGAGACTGGTCCCAAAGCATCTCCTCTTCTTCCTTTCTTTGACTTGTTCCTTTTTCTCTTTACTACCCTTAAGTTCCTATTTCTTAGAGGCTACATCTTGGCTTTTTTTCTCCTTTCGGTTCTTAAGTTTTTCTGTACTGACTGTTTCCACCTCTGTTTTGTTTCTTTGGATGCTCTTGTATTTGTCTAAATCTATTTCCTCACAAGTTTTCTTCCTCTTATGCTTGGGCCGCTCCTCCTCTCGTTTTTCCTGGCCTTTCTCTGGGAGCCTTTTTCTCTTCTGATGTATCTGTTTATAACTAGTTTGACGGGCACTGGTACTGTTTTCTGAGGAGAGGTGCCTGTAAACTCCAGATTCTACACTGTATGAGCTACAGTTATACTCTTGCTGACTAAAGTTCAGGGGTACTGGTTTTCCTGAGAAACAGTCCCTGGTGAATTGACAGCAGCTCAGGGAGTCCAGTCTCAGCCTGCTGTCATGAGCTACTAGCCAGTGAGGTAACCACTTTTCCACTGTTTGCGGAATACTGCATGGTCTTCGGTAGGTCTGGACGGTTTCACAAAGGAGTCTTTGATCAAACATTCTACACCTGGGTCTAGACTCAACCTCTTCTTTGCACCCACAGGTTTCCAAATAATCCTCTCTCATCTTTCTGAAACAAGTCTTTGGCTCTAAGCCTCTGGCTTTCTGCACTTTGATGTAATCTTCAAGTTCATCTTGAAAAGAGTCACATGTCTTTGAATGCTTCATTAGGTTGACAAGGAGTTCTCCTTAACAGGTTGAGAACTTGGTGGAGAAATTTGATCATATTCACCCATTGATTGCTTCAGTTTTTTAGCATGAACTTTTCCCAAATAGTGAGACTGTGCAACAACTGAGGAGCTAAAAACCATGATGCAGAGATTTAAAAATCTATTTTTGTCCAATACTCTGCTCCCATTCACCTCATAATGTGAAATTCATTGTGATTCAAATTATGGCACTACTCCTTATAAGCCTTTTACAAAAGGTATCTGTAAAAAGTTCAGTCTTTGCTCATTCAACGTGGTACCTTCTCTGAGGCAGGGGCCCCCTCCGTGCCAACGCCGCCCGCCAGTGGACAGGCCGAGGTGGAGGAGGCAGAGAGGCAAGGACCACCGCTGCCGCTGCCGAGCGAGCAGGGTGGGAGCAGGAGGCGGAGACCGGACTTCCGAGGGGAAGTGGCCACCACCACCAGCGGCCAACTGGACGGCACCGCCGCCATAACAGTGAGGAGTGCTACTGCACTTGCTCCAAATATTCTTTGTAGCCCACTGGCTTTCTTTTTTATTACTTTATCCCTTGATTTTATTTTTGATTGTTCTTCACTTTTTCTGGACTCTTTGGTGAAAGAATAAATTTGCATCAATAAACTCACCCAAGCCTGCATCTTTACTGTCTTTTTATTGGCAGAGCATTCGCCTTGCTGAATTTCCACCTATTTTTTACCTCCTTCCAACTTGAGTCTTCTTTTCCCATAACCATCAAGTTAGATAAATGGCAGGGAACCACAGGAAGAAAGGAGAAAGATCGAGGAAGAGAAAGTTAAATACATTCTTAATTTCCATGAGCATTCACCTATCTTTCAGCAGCCCTGGTTTCAACAATAATAAGACGATTTATTGAACACTCACTACAGGCACTGTGTAAGGCACCATGACTCAGTCGTCACAGGTGCCCTGTGAAGTAGGGGGGACCCCATTTTACAAAGAACCTGAAGCTCAGAGAGATGGGTACCAGGAGTGATGACCCACTTGACTGTCTTTAAGCCACACCCTGAGGATGACACTGCTTCCATTTCCCTTTCCACCTGTCCTTCCTCATTCAACTTGGGAAAATTGGATTTACCATGCCATCAAGGAATTTCTTGGTCGCATGCCATTGCTATTTTATGCCAAGGGAAAAAAAATCACCAGAGATTTTACTGCTCATTTTAACCACCTTCATCTTGCTCTAATTTCTTTCACTAACAAATTGCTTTAAGGAAACAAAGTCCTGGGAATTCCCTGGCGGTCCAGTGGTTAGGGCTCCACGCTTCCACTTCAGGGGACACTGATTCAATCCCTGGTCCGGGAACTAAGATCCTGCATGCTGAGTGGCCAATAAATAAATAAATAAATAAATATAAATTAAAAAAAAAAAAAAAGAATCAAAGTCCTAGGTAGACACAGTGCCCTTATCACTCTCTACAAGCCTATCCTCATGCCCTGGCCAGAGAATTCACACAGGAACCTCCTTGTGCCCCTCTGCCTTATTTGAGTGTTATCCATCTACCTCTCTGGTCTCCCTACCATGCTGTACACTACTGTGCATCTCCACTGCATCCGGCACAGAACCTTCCCCGAACTGGCACTCATTTGTGAAAAGGAATAATGGATGACTAGACTGGTATCCCAGCTTTCTTACCCCTCTTCCCATCTCAACCCTTTGTGTCCCAGCTGTGAGCCATTGGCTCCCTGACACTGCTGCCCGCAGACACCTTTTGGAGCCCCGTGACCATTGTCCCTCCTTCAGCCCCTCCTTGAAGGGTCCCCCACCGTGACATTAGACCTGGGAGTCTCTTCTCCTCCAGCCCGAATACCACAGTCCCTTGGGCTCTTCTGTGGCCTCCTCATCCTGTCTCCCGCTGCTCTTCTCCATCTGGAACTCATCTCACCACCCCAAGGACAGCCTTTTTGTCAGGCCGACTGTCATTTCTTTTTTTTTTTTTTTTTTGTGGTACACGGGCCTCTCACTGCCGTGGCCTCTCCCTACGCGGAGCACAGGCTCCGGACGCGCAGGCTCAGCAGCCATGGCTCACGGGCCCAGCCGCTCCGTGGCACGTGGGATCCTCCCGGACCGGGGCACGAACCCGTGTCCCCTGCATCGGCAGGCGGACTCTCAACCACTGCGCCACCAGGGAAGCCCCCGACTGTCATTTCTTGAGTCCTTCTGTAGTTGTTTATGCACATAGAGGTTGCATTTCCAACTAGCCCATAAGCACCTCAGAGGACAGGGTTTCTTTTGTGTTCACTATGGTACCTAGCACAGCCATAGGCATATGATTCATTTGGCACATGTGATCAAGTATTTGTTTTTTAATAGTAATCATATTTTTTTCTTGGATCAAAAAAAAGAAGAAAAAGAAAAGAAATTACTGTTTACTATATTTAAGTTTTGAATTTTTTTCAAATTTGCTTAGTTGTTTGCTGTTCTTGAAGGGGTTTTTTGTTTGTTTGTTTGTTTTGTTTTGTTTTGTTTTGTTTTGTTTTGTTTTGTCTTGCGGTACACGGGCCTCTCACCGCCGCGGCCCCTCCCGCCGCGGAACACAGGCTCCGGACGCGCAGGCCCAGCAAACACGGCCCATGGGCCCAGTCGCTCCGAGGCACTCGGGATCCTCCCGCACCGGGGCATGAACCCGCACCCCCTGCATCGGCAGGCGGACCCCCAACCACTGCGCCACCAGGGAAACCCCTGTTTGCTTTGTTTTTTTTTGTTTTTTTTTTTGCTTTGTTTTTTAATGCTTGCATAGGAACTGCCTGGCATTATGCTGCTAGCTGTAATATGAATATCACCAGGTGAGAGTGTCCAGTTAGATGGTGTTCCCTCCTTTGCCATAGCTGGGCCTCACATTTTTATTACTGAGTCCACACCTCCCATCTGTCCAGTATTTCAAGCAGCAGGTTTATAACTTTATACAAGTTTTCTACCCTTGCAACTACATCATCTCTAGCAACCATTTCACATCTAAACAATCATCCTTGGCCTCCTTAATAATGTGAGTATAAAGATTTGCCAGTAGTTTTTTTTTTTTTTTCCAAATACTGCTTCCAAAATAAATGATGAATTCCCCTACTCCTAGAGATTGCATCACCCTCTTCCCTCCTCAACATCACTCATTTCAGAGCCAGCCCTAGTGACTTTGTAATTATGGTTCCCAGAATATAATCCCTTATGAGGGATTTCGTGAATTTTCATTGATGTCTCCATGATGTCAGTAGCCTTTTAATGGTTCCATGACCCATCCTCTCCCCGTCAGAGACAACACTGGACTTCTTTTTTTCTTAAGCTAGCCTTTTGTTTATCTCCTTGGATCATAAAAGAATCTTCAGCAAGAGTACTTATCCCTTTCCCTCCTTACTTACCTCTCTCACTACTGTATTTTCTTACCAATTCTTTTTTTTTTTTTTTTTTTTTTTTGCGGTACACAGGCCTCTCACTGCTGTGGCCCCTCCTGCCTCGGAGCACAGGCTCCAGACGCGCAGGCTCAGCGTCCATGGCTCACCGGCCCAACCACTCCACAGCATGTGGGATCTTCCCAGACCGGGGCACGAACCCGTGTCCCCTGCATCGGCAGGTGGACTCCCAACCACTGTGCCATCAGGGAAGCCCTCTTACTAATTCTTTATTTTCACATTGATCATTTCATATCTCTCCTACTCTTCAAGATTATTCTTGATTAAGAGAAAAGAGAACTGTGTCCTGTTTACTCTGATTTACCTTCCTCCTTTCCATGCTGGTGTCTCAATTCTGTTTCTCTTTGTATTAATCTATTGTTGTATAACAAATTACCCCCAAAGTTAGTAGCTTAAAACAGAAAAGATTCCTTATCTCAGTTTCTGTTACCTCACAGGCATGGCTAAGTTCAGTCTCTCTAGCTCTACATCTCTCATCAGTTGTCAGTCAAGTTGTAAGCTGGACATTAGGGGCTCCACCATGAGGAACCCTTCTTGAAGTTCATTCAGGTGGCTGATGGCAGGCCTCAGTCCCTCATCATGTGAGCCTCTCCACAGGGATGCCTCACAACATTGCCCATGGCTTCCTTCAGGCCATGTGAGTGACCCAAGAGGGAACTAACAAGAGCACTCAAGACCAAAACCAGTCTTTTTTTTTTTTTTAACATCTTTATTGGAATATAAATGCTTTACAATGGTGTGTTAGTTTCTAATGTATAACAAAGTAAATCAACTACATGTATACATATATCCCCATATCCCCTCCCTTGTGTGTCTCCTTCCCACCTTCCCTATCCCACCCCTCTAGGTGGTCACAAAGCACTGAGCTGATCTCCCCGTGCGATGCAGCTGCTTCCCACTAGCTATCTATTTTACGTTTGGTAGTGTATATATGTCCACGACACTCTCTCACTTCGTCCCAGCTTACCCTTCCCCCTCCCCATGTCCTCAAGTCCATTCTCTACGTCTGCGTCTTTATTCCTGTCCTGCCCCTAGGTTCTTCAGAACCCTTTTTTTTTTTTCAGATTCCATATATATGTGTTAGCATATGGT